TATCTCCATCCACTTCTCCCATCCATTCAGTTCCTTAGAATCCACGTATAAGTGAGATCATATGATATTTGTCTTTCTCTGACTGACTTATATCACTTAGCATAATGTTCTCTAGTTCTATCCATATTGTTGCGAAGGGTACTATTTCCTTCTTCTTTATAGCTGCGTAATACTCCATTGTGTAAATATACCAAAGTTTCTTAATCCAGTCATCAACCGATCGGCATTTTGGTTGTTTCCAAGTCTTAGCTATTGTGAATAACGCCGCAATGAACATAGGGGTACATATATTTTTTCGTATTAATGTCTTGGGTTTCTCTGGATAAATACCTAAGAGTGGGATTGCTGGGTCATAAAGTAGTTCCATTTTCAGATTTTTGAGGTACCTCCATACTGATTTCCATAATGGCTGCACAAGTCTGCAGTGCCACCAGCAGTGCACCAGTGTTCCCTTTTCCCCACAGCCTCGCCAGCATTTGTTGTTTGTTGATTTATTGATGATAGCCATTCTGACCAGGGTGAGGTGGTATCTCATTGTGGTTTTTATTTGCATTTCCCTAATGCTAAGTGATGTTGAACATTTTTTCACATGCCGGATGGCCATCTGTATGTCCTCTTTGGAGAAATGTCTCTTCATATCCTCTGCCCACTTTTTAATCGGGTTGTTTGTTTTTTTGGTGTTGAGTTGTATGAAGTATCTAAATATTATTATAGACTTGTCTATTTTAACCTTTATTTTGTACAACTTTGCTTCAAATTCTTTGAGACTTTGTTGTAGGTGTGCGTATATTTATAATGGCTATATCTTTTTAATGAATTTACCCTTTTGTTAATGTATAATTCGCTCTTGTGATAATTTTTGTTTGAAGATTGTTTGTCTGATATTAGTTTAGTCATTTCAACTATCTTCTGGTTGCCATCTGTATGAAATATATTTTCCCATGCTTTTACTTTCAAACAATTTGTTTCTTTGAAGATAAGTTTGTGTAGCTAACATATAGTTCAATCATGTTTTTTAATCCATTTGGCCAATCTTTGCCTTTTACTTATAAATTTTAAACCATTTACATTTACTGTAATTATTGATAAAGAAGGACTTCCACCATTTTGCTGTTCTTTTTCTCTATGTGTCTTGTATGTGTTTTGGTCTTTACGTCCTCCATAATTTTGTGTATGTGTTAAATAGGTGTTATTGAGTGTATTAGTTTTAATTGCTTCATGTCCTTGGTTTTTTTACTATATATTTTTGAGTTATTTTCTTAGTGGTTCCTAGAGATAATAATTACTATCTTACTTTATAACACTCTAGTTCAGATTAATACTTCATTGGACAAGAAAAGACCTTCCTCTTCTTTAACTACTGGAGATGTATGGGTGTCCTGGGAAAAGTGTGGTCCTTGGTGTACACCATGCCTGTGGATCACTCACTAATGTAAGCAGTCATTTCACTCAACATTTGCCGTTTGATTGAAGACAAAATAGACCTGATAGAGGGAGACATAGATGTGTTGTCCTCAGTGATATGTGTGGTTTCATTGCAAGAATGGCTTGACAGTTCCACTTGCTCAATGCAGAGCATATGAATTCTCAAAGATTCTGGAGAACTGTGAGGTCATTGAGTCACTAGGACGCCTGCTCAGCCTGCCTTTCTGAATGTTCCTGCCTCACAGAATGTGTCAGGATTGAAGATGAATCCCTCATATGGATCAGGTTCACAGCGGGTGAAGGCTGGGAATGGCCCTCGGTTTCCTTTTATCCCGCTTTGGGCAGTATGCTTACTTGGTGTGAACAGGAGCCTGAACAAAAGTCGCTGAACGCTTAAGATTAAGACAGGAAACTTTGTCCGGTAGCAAGTGGTGAAAATTTGCCAGCCTTCTATCAGTGTTTCAGTGTTTTGGTGGTCGCTGTGTTTCTATTAAGAGCAGTGACAACTGCAAGGATAAAATGCCAAGGGCGACATCAAAGCCATGGTCAGGAAGAGGGTACATGCAGAATAGGTGTGATTTCATCAAAAGGACAACCTGTGAAAGAAGGACTCTGTAGAATTTTGTAGAGGCCTCTTGAGGTCAAAGATGGCCTCCTTTCTTTTGAGGGCTACATCGTCTACTGTTGGGAAACGGCATGAAGAAGCTAGGAAGTTGTGATGAACGTGAGCTTCTTCGGGGACTGAGTCCTTTGTGTAGGAGCACATGACACCCAGCAGCTGCCCACATAACCTCATGCTGTCACACACGCCTGCAGTCACACCTGAGGGATAGAGGAACATGAAGCAGATGCAATGCTGACCCGTGAAAGGTTGGCATGGATCTTGTTACCTGAGGACCTGGGTATGTTTCTGACATGTGTCTGTGACTTGTCTACATTGCCAAGGTGGAGTGGCCATACACGGCTCACCATTGGACACAGAGAGGTGACGTTCCCCTTTCCTTTGAGGGTTGAGGTGCCCGGAAGTCCAAGAGACATTTGGCCTCGGGTGTGCACCGTGCCCGTGGATGACTCAGGAAGGTAAGCATTCCTCTGTCCCAAGCTCTGCCAAGGTCCTAGAATCATAGACCTGGTAGATGTAGCCTGTCACTATCCCCAGTGGAAAGTGGGGTTTTGCCCCAAGAGTGGACTGGCTATCCCTCTCACTCAGTGGCTTAGATGTGAATCCCCACAGCTGCTGAGGACTCTGAAGTCATCGGGTCACCCAGTGAGCCACCCAACTGGCCTTGCTCACAGGTCCTGCACCCCAGCACGTGCTCGGATCGATGATGACTCCCTCATATGCATTCCTTGGAAAAGCTGAACAAAATGAGTGAGAACTCCTTACCGTCGTTCTCATCNGACTCACGGCAGCCCAGCTCCATGTCGAGCTGTTGTTCACCATCTTAGCTGTACAGGGCGGAGGGTCACTGGCCCGCATGTGGGATCCGAACCAGGGCCCTGCTGCTCAGAGCTGGTGTCCCAAGCCAACTCCTAACCAACGTGCCACTCGGCCGGTCCCATGCTTCATTTTTTTTTTTAAAGATTTTTACTGGGGAATTGGGGGATGGGAACACTGCTGGGGAATTGGGGGAACAGACAAGTTGCTGTCGTTTTGTTCTTCAATCTAGTTGTGGAGGACGTTGCTTCACTGGCCCACGTTGGCACCATCATTGCGCTCTTCCCGGGTGAGGCAGATCAGTCGCTGACTTCTGGATGGCCGCTCACTGCGGCTGCTGGCCGCTCATTCTGGCTGCTGGCTACATACGGTAGCCCATGGCAACCCACTGCCACAGGGGCTGCAGCCTACGCCGTCGCCGGCGACTCACAGCAGCCCAGCTGTTGTTCAGCATCTTAGCTGTAGAGGGAAGTGTCACTGGTCCTCATGTGGGATCCGAACCGGGGCCCTCTGGCGTCCCAAGCCAGTTCTTAACCATCACGCCACTCGGCCGGCCCCATGCTTCATTTTTGATGTATGTATTAATAACTATAAACTTTCCTCCAGATTACTGCTTTTGGCATCCCATGAGTTTTAGAATGTTGTGTTTTCATTTTCATTCATCTCAAAAATTTAATGACCTGCCTTGATTTTTTCTTACTTGATTTATTATTAGGTGTGTTTAAAAATTTCCACATATATATGAATTTTCTATATCTCCCTCTGTTACTGATTGCTAATTTAATTCTATGGTCAGTGAACATACATTGCATGATTTCAATGTTTTAAAATTTATACTTATTTTGGTGTTATATCTGGTCTATTCTGGAGAATGTTCCATGTGCACTTGAGAGAAATGTGTATTCTGCTGATTTCAGGTGGGGAGTTCTGCATCTGTCTGTTAGGTGCAGTTGTTTATAATGTTCAAATCCTCTATTTTCTTAATGACCTTTTTAATTTTTCTATCCATTATTGAATGTGGGATATTGAAGTATCTGAATATTATTTTTTAAATTTTTTATTTATTTTTATTTTTTATTGTTAGTTTCAGGTGTACAGAACAATGCAATAGTTATCCTTTTCACCCTCACAAAGTAATAACCCCCCTCCCCCCAT